AGTATGTTTGCATCGTATCACTGCTGATGATCTATATAACTTTCTGAATTTAATCCAAGTGCAAGATACGGTCTTTAACATGTCAACAAACACAGTGGCTCCAGATGAGATTATAGCAATGGCTCTGCAATAATCTCTGTAATCCAGAAAAAGTTGCTCAACTAGGTTGCTTCAGCAGAAGTATATTCCATGGAATGTCTTCATGGATTTTAGAAAGTTTCTCATGCTGACCTCAAAAACTTTGCCTTACTAAGGGGAGGAAGGATATCAGAATTTGAAAGCATCGGAGTATTTGAGTATTGATGACAAAACTGAACACATACAATTTCTTGTAGCACTTGCTATAGCAGTAGAAAGTTTTCTCTTTCCTGCTTCTATGGAGTTCAGCCTCAGCCTGCCCAGCGTTGTTCACACAAATGCTGACACCAAATGCGCAGGGACTGCTGTCATGGTTATAGCACAGAAAAAATGTAGAAACTGGCATAGTCACATCCTTCATCAGTTTACAGCACCCACTTCACTGAATCACACTTTCTTTACCCAAACAGCATTCTGTTCCGGCATTAGGCATGCGTGCTTTTCAGGCCACAAAAAAAAAACCTTCCAGAAATTCAAGCAGCAATTTACATTAATGTATTTTAAACTACCACTAACCTCCCATCACTGCTTTGATGATCTGCAGCCTCTAACTACTGCAATCATGCATATGAGTGTACTTCTATTATTGGCCAACTGATCTGGATCAAAATTGGGATGCCATTACATTCAGTGCAATGTAATTGTATATAGAGACATATTCCTCGATTTCAAATAGAGTTTGGATTTAAATCTATTAGGACTCAATAGTAGGAATCAGATGGAAATTTTAATGTGAGCTAGTTACACTGGACTCCCATTTTAGTCAGTGGAGATCCAGTGGAGTCCAAAATACATTATATCTTTTTCTGTGGGAGATGTCTACAGTCAGAATTGGATTTCCCTGCACTATGAAAGGAAGAGTAGAGAGTGCTTAGCTCAGTTACACAAGTATACATTGTAGACATCAAAAGTTAGATAAATCTCATCTGGATGATCCTTTCAAATACTTCCTGTAACCATCTATATTTATAAATCTTCTGGAGCTGCAGGTTCGTATATATGGGAGCAAATATATTGACCTTGGCAGGGTATGAACTAAAAGGTATTGCTAATGGTTGCCATAACATGTGATCTGTGTATGATGTTCCTGCTTTTGCAAGCATATCGTTAAAGCTTAATTACTAACAATGGAGCAAAATGAAGCAAGGCTTCTGTACAAAGGTTATGAAGTGCATATCAAGTTCTCCAGCTTGAGAGAGTATGGTATCACAAATGAGACCCTGACCAGTATGTTTAGACTGCAGAGCATTATTATAGTAGTAGTAGCTACGTACGTAGAGTTTCTTATAACCAATTTCTTCTCCTTGGTGGTGTGTGGGTTTTGGGCGTCAAATCGTATGAGATGCTGTGCTGTTGCATCAGTAGCTTCACCAGGTTTGGGTGTGCTTTCTCCACCCGTGACAAATAAAAGCTCCAGAGCTATCAGCTGTCCAACCCCTGGAAGAAATAAGTAGGTATTACTGTTTACCATCTGGCTATTAACATTGTTCATTTGACTCATTAATGGTCGTTGCTGGCTTTTGTTATTAATGATAATATCTGGTGTTTCCTCAAATTTCAGAACTCCAACGTGTTAATCACACAATATTTTCCTGGTGTTCTTTGTTTATCAACATATATCAGTAGAGATCTTCCCTTCACAAATTAAACAGATTTGTATTTCAGGGCACAAGCTCAGCTCACTTACATCACCACGCACTCACCGGTAAGTAAGCAAGGGGTTTGCAATGGTAGATAATGCCCTGAGATGTCCCAGATGTTCTGAGCAGTGTATTAAAATAAAAATAAGCAGCAAATGCACCACTTCAAAATCTAAAGAAAATACCCATAATAGTGATTAAATAGATGACAAATCAAGCATAATATTTCAGTACTCACAATTACATTACAGGACAAGTACTAAAATTTACAAGAATTTCAACTGGTTTCATTAGCTAATCCAAAGACTGCCTCTCTTTTTCCTGAATACCCTAATCCAAGATGTACCCCAAATTTACTTCACACCCAAATGTATTTCTGCCCTGTTAAAGCTGATGCTTTATAGTTTGACATATTACTGATACAAAATCTAAGAAATTAATTGCACCTGAGGTTTTCTTTTGTGCTACTTTGTGACATTTTACGTTTGGATTTTTGGCTACAGTAGGCAGCCAAAGAGCTCAGTGATTTCTGAACAGTGTACTTCATGCACTGGAAAGTAATAATAATAATAATAATGTTTAGTATTGAAAACCATCATGGAACAAAGTGTTTGGTTAATCTGATGATGTAAAATATTACCATCACTTCAAGCCATCAACCACCACTCACATTAACTCAGTATCTATGGTGTTAGAAATGCAGTCTCCGAAAGGTGTTAGAAACAAACCTGTGACTGTAACATCACTGTCTTGGCAATTGTCACAAACAATGGTGTATGCCTGCTGTGAGACTTCTGGAAAAGAAGGAAAAAACACTACCTGAAAGAGAAACATAAAATAGCAATGACTGTAACTGATTTATCTCTGGGAAGTAATAAACTTAAATTCATAAACGTTCACTAAAAGACAGTTGTAGTGATTAGTTATAAAATCTTACATTTGCAAGAAACTGTGTCACAGACCCTTAATACAAACCAGAAATAGGTGTTCTCTGGGTCACTAAACTTACATGCATGTACGTGGATGGCCTTCAGAAGCTGCCTTTGTAGTCACTGGAGATGCAGGCATTCTCCTGGCTTAGTTGAATGAAATGCACCCTCAGAATTGGATCTGCCCTCGATCATTTACTGAGTAATGCCACTGATTGCCTTTTAAGCTACAACAGCATGAGCAGGGCAACTGCTGCATACCCTGCCTAAGTTCCAGCTCAAACAGAATGGTTCAGGGGCCAAAACCTTTAGCTGATCCTTCTATTTGTTATCCATTGCCACCTGTAAAACCAACCCATCCTAATCTATTTCCTCTTTCTCTCCCACATGTGCCTGGCCCTGCTAAAGCAATGCACCTGGGAAGGCAGAGAGAAGGAGAAACATTTCTTCTTTATCCACACCTGCCTGACCCATTCCTTTCATCAATAGCCAGGAGGAACTAGCAAAAGTAGCTGAAGGCTAGTCACACTCTCCATATCATTCTTCTCCCCATAGTGATCTGTAAATAAAATGTGACTCACATCAGACAAAACAGTGGTGGCAACCATTAATGCACACCTACTGCAGGATCTTCTAAGAAAAGAGCACATTGTAAGTAAATGATTTGTACCTGTTACATGAAAGACTTTTTTTCTTTTTTTTTCCCCCAGAAAAACTTCCTTTTTTCCCAAGGAATCTCAGAAACGAGAAGTTTCTTGGACTTGGTACCCCAGCTGGAATGAAATAAGCATTCCTTTGTTCTCAGATTCCTGTTTTCTCTAATAGGATTCTTAGTGTGGGGAAAATCTGACTGGTCTCTGAGTGGCTAAACAAGACTTGGAAGTTCAATGGAAGACTCTCCAGTAAGACTCACAACTGCAATTCTTTCAGCATAATTGCGCAAAAGGATTTGAGCATTTTTGCTCACACAAACCCAAACCCACAAAGTCCAGCCAAGACCTTCTAACATGATCTTGCTTGCTAATCTATTTGGGAAAATACAAATACTTTCTATAGCAGTTGGTACTAACCTCTACTGTTATATTCTGCCCTGGGGCTAGCTCAAACACAGGAGGATGGATCCCAAAAGGATCTTGTATCACAAAACCATCAGTGGCAACAACCTAAGTTGTTAAAAAAAAAAAAAAAAAAAAAAAATAAAAGAAAAAAGAAAAAAAAAGGAAAAAATAATAGAAAAAAGAAAAAAGAAAGATTAAAAAATTAGATTGAGTTTGTTGTTTTTAAAATACAGGATTACCTAAACCAGGCAGGATACTACAATACCTCTGTTTTAATTCTTACTGTAATTTTTTTTCACACCTCTCAAAGCTCCATGCTTTATAATTACCTCGGTGAAAGCAGGAGGGAAGGTGCTGTCTCCAAAGAAAAATGATAGTGTCAGAAGCCCTAATATTCACGTTCACAGAAAAACAGCTTTGCCTGCTCACAGAGGCTCTGTCTGTTTCTCCATGCTCATGACTCACTCCGAGTGGAACTGTAAAGCATTTCAGTAGGGACATCCTGGCACATCAGCTGTCACTTTAGCCTTTTCTCAGCACATAAAATGCCAATCTACCAGTCACATCTTATCTTTTTTGCCCATTTCATTTACATCTGTTTTGGGATGGAAAGCTAAAGACAGTGCAGTACTGGAGTGGACTGCAAGGTCTACAGGTGCAGCAAGGGCAGTAAGTGATATCTTTGGTGGGAAGGGGGAAGAAATCAGCTCAAGCAATGCTCAAACTGATTGCATTTCTATTTGCTTTAAGGGTAAAGTTAAAGTTCAAGCCAGTTGTCTTTTCCCTGACCTGTTCAGCCTGGAGAAGAGAAGGCTGTGTAGAGACCTCATAGCAGCCTTCCAGTGTCCGAAGGGGGCCTATAAGGATGTTGGGGAGGGACTCTTCATTAGGGACTGTAGTGGTAGGACAAGGGGTAATGGCTTCAAACTTAAACAGGGGAAGTTTAGATTAGATGTAAGGAAGAAGTTCTTCACAGTGAAGGTGGAGAAGCTGTGGAATGGGTTGCCCAAGGAAGCTGTGAATGCTCCAACCCTGGCAGTGTTCAAGGCCAGGTTGGGCAGAGCCTTGGGTGACATGGTTTAGTGCAAGGTGTCCCTGCTCATGGCAGGGGGATTGGAACTAGATGATCTTAAGGTCCTTTCTAACCCTAACTGTTCTATGATTCTATGATTCTATGTCTGAGTTTACCCCACCACTGAGCAAGAAACCTTCTTCTAGAAGAAAGCCAGAGCACAAGCAGAAGATATGGACATCCAGGGAGATTGGTCTTGAGGACAAATGTGAATACCTAAGGGAGTGACAATACCAATGTCCCCATCAAGGCCTTATGACTTCTGTGCTAATATCCCATGACTAGTTCAAAAGGCCTTTGTGTCAGGGTACTGATACCACACCACGTCCAGTATTTCCTTTCTAATCACTCACCCTAAAATTAGGAGATGGGCAGGCCTTCTTTGGCATTACAGAGAATTTCTCAGTTCTAACTCCCTCATTTCTGCACAAAATCATCATTATTTTTTTTCCTCCAACAAGGCAGGGACCACAGTCTATAATTTGAGGCACTGCAAAGAGTAACACAGAAAATCAGACTACACAGACAGTGAAGGCTTGCCAGCTGCTTCTTAAATAACTCCTTATAGACAACATTACTGCATATGAATATGCTGGGAGCTGCCATCCTAAACCCCATCATATTCTTTCCATTTGAAAGTTAAACAGTATAAGGTGTATATTTCTACATACATCTCACATTTTAATGGTGCTTCCTACTTAAAGACTCTGTTGAACAATAACAGAAAGTAAGATGTTTTGAAAACATGTTCACTGTAACAGGAAAAGTGAATTTAGCAAAAATCAAAGCAAGTTTCTGCAAAAGTAATCCTGGTTGCTACAGCTGAACCTAGAAATCTGAGAGGTGAATCCTGCAGGTATAAAATAATTAATAAACATAATTAATGTAACACTGAATGAATATTAATTAATAGCATCAAATATTTATAACTAAATTGTAATTACTTACTATTTAGGATAAGTAATTACAGTTAGGAATCCAGGAATCAACAACACACAAACCTAGAAAAGTGGCTCCTGCTCACTCTTCTAATACAAGAACAAATGATTGAGGAAAAATTTGTCAGGATTACATTTTAATAACTAGTAGAACTATTATAAGTGAAAATTAGGTAGATACCAAAATAGAGAAACTGGACTGCCAAGTTTGGCCACATTCGTTTTGTGACATGAAATTGGAGAAAGTCAAATATAAAAAAATAAAATCCTTTTAACTTTAGAGAAACTTAAGAATTGGACAGTACTGACATGTTAACACTGGAGGTGGTCTTTTAGCTTGGATTGGGATCAAAAGAGGTTCTGATACTTGAGTCTCCACTAACATACAGTCTTCATAATCTCCTGGATATTTAGGAGTAAATCGGACTGTATACTGGCACATCATCCCAGGAGCAATCAGTCCTCCCTTTCCTGGAAATTTTCCTTGGGGGGGGAAGAAAAAGCATGGAATTAAAAAAATTAAAACTTCCCGAAGTTGGCATATGTACTTATGATCACATCTCTTTCTGGAAACGTGCCTGTAAACTCTCCCCATTTATTGCCCAAGTCAACCTGATAAAAATGAATGACCACAAAAGGCCTGCCAATGTAATCTGTGTATGCACATGTCTTCCCCTCAACTTAAAGAAGATTTTTCTGTCTGAAATATGCTTTTCATAACTACAGAAAACAAAGTGAGGAGAAACCTAGAGAAATTACCTAGTTTTCCTCTGCACAGGAGAGCAAGGCTTACATGGGGGCATCCAGCTTCTTCTAAATATTCCTCCAATGTTGTGACTGAGATACCACAATCTCATTAGGCAATCTGTCCCAGTGCCTAGCTATCGTACTATATATCCTTTAACCTAATCTTCCTTGCTGCAACTGGAGTATATTACTCCTTGCCCTCTTCCCCATAGTGGAAACTATGTCTGTTCCTAGATGCATTTTGGATAAGACTCAATCTAGGTATTCCATGGGTACATTTCAACCTAACTTTGAAAAATTTAATGTAAGTTTGTCTTCCTGAATTCCTCATTAGACCATTTGAATCTGCTTATGAGTTGCATGTGAATGGTCTCAGAGACATAAGTCAGCCTTCATTTTTTAAAGAACTAAGCACTATGGATAGCAGAAGCAAACAGAATGTCTCTGAAAAATCTTTGTTCAAGCTGATAAGCTGATTAATTAGATTTCTTATGTGTTAATATCTTAAAGGCAGTAAAAAGAATGCTTACCTGGCCCAATGGCAAATGCTGAAGTGGTAGGAGGGATAAGTCTTAAATAATGACATGTTGAAGTGATGTTTTGCAGCTCTATAGTCATCTTCATGTAAAAAGAAAACAAAATACTCCATTATATTTATCATCACTCATTGTAACGTTTGCAATTCCCCAGTAGTCCACTAGTAGTAACTAATTCATCATCACAACCAACCTAAAAACCTCAGTTTATTCAATAATGGTTGAATCAAATCCCACCAAAACAAAGCGGAGACTGAAAAAGGTCCCTTTTAGTTTTCACTGGTTAGTATGTCAGTGGCACGTGTGAAAGAGTATCTTCAAGGAAGCTATAGGGTCATTCATTCAATATAAAGAAGAAACTCAGACTTCTGTAAAACTGCAGGAAGCCAAAAGTTTGGCTGAGATATATAGATTACAGCAGGACATAACGCTCCTCAGTAGTAGAATTAACTCTTTACAAAGAAGTAAGTTCTTACCTCATAAACCTGGCCAACTTCATAATCAGAAAACACAACAGTAGGTGGATTGGCAAGAAACACAGGAACAAATGAGATATCACTGAAGGAGAAAAAACCCCAGAGACATTATCTTACTGCCCAGTTCTTTAAATATTGATAAAATGGGAAACTGTAAAATGTATCCCCTAGTAAGAACAAAATATCATATAGACATACTATGTTTCCTAAGTGACTACACAAACATTTAGCTGAAATATGTACTTGTAAATCCACAGTAATTCTATGGTGGAGCTCTCTGCATTCTCCAGCTCAGAATCAAGAAACTGTATATACTGCATACCCTTTATCGTCTTCTGCTTTCTTTCTGGCTATGGTTTGTTCCACCTTTTCTTGAGAAATGACAAGAGATTTGCCTCCATGAAGAGAATTCGGTGGGAAAAAGCGGGGATTCTTCAAGTAATTCTGCCTTTTCTCAAGTTTGGCAAGGTAAGCACGCTCACTTTCTCCCTCAGCTTTGCACTTACTATCTTTCCAGGCCAGCTTCTGTGAGGCATTAGTTTTCTTTGAAAAACAAAGAGATCATGGTGCAAAATTAAACACGGCAATTTTGAGGATGATGAAAAAGATACCTGTATATGTACAATTAAAGCTATACAACATGGAAAATTCATACAGAAATATTGTGTTTCTCTTTTCTTAACAGATCAAATAAGTACTGGAGCCAAATCACCGATACATTGATATTCACCCTTTGTTACAGGAGCAGCAATAGGCCTTAGAGTTCTGACAGATTAAACCAAATCTGTAAAATGTACCTTACTCATCTTTTTAGCCTGGTGGCTAGAGTCTGGAGTTGAAAGCAGAGTTAATGTGCTTAAAGACACATTTGGCAGTCTACCAGGTATTTTCTGTAGATGTGCAATCTTTGCAGGCGTCTGGTCCCACAAGCGTGAAGAAACATGCTGTTTAAAAACAAATGTCTCTTTGACGTAGCCAGGTTCTGATTTTCCTGCAATTTGAAGAAAAAATTAAGTCTATAAGAGAAGAACATGAATTATAAGCACTTATTCTGAGCATAGCTGTATGAACTTATTTTAATTTTGTTGATGGTAAAAATATACTTTAAATCCTCTAGAATTTAATTTAAATTTATAATATATTTCCCACAAATGAAGCTTAGTGCTTTAATAATAAAGCTTCTAGATATACTGAGTAAGCAAGCTATATACAAAGAAAGTTACGTCGCTCTCAGACAAGCTGTGTTAATCTTAAAAGTGAATGGAACTTAGAATGTCCTGTTCAATTTACAAAAATACAATGTGATGGAGTTATAACAGTCAGAATGTTGACATAAACAGGATGTAACATCTAGTCCCATGTTCCTGTTGTTAAGTGAACTCTGAGATGTTAGATTTTTGGCTTCGTCTGGAATTGCAATGGGGAAAAAAAACCAAACCCAAATCTTGGAATTTGTGACTAAGTTGATTACTCTTAAATGTTTGCTTTGACTTGTCTGAAAAATGTCAATTTAATGATGGTAAAATCTTGGCTCACATGTCAGTAAAAGAAGAAGTCTTGACATTGCCCAAAAATGATCTTCATTTGCAAATTGAACTGATATTCTTCTTGAACTGGAAAACTTTAAACCCAAAATAAAGAATACAGTTTTGTTTCCCTGAAAATAGCTGTTAATGTAACTACTTCCCTTCCCTGTATACAGGATGGAGTTTCAGCTTTGTGCTAATGAAACTGAATAGAGGCAGAGCAGTCACAATTAATACAGTTTTTGTGTTAGATGGAAAGAACTATAAGCAAATGTGTGACCACCATTAAATTTCATGGTTAAGCACATTAAAACTCAATAATTCATCAATTTTAGTTAGACAGTGTCCCTTTAGTTGAATTTTACGCTTATAATACTAGAGTCCCTTCTGCTTTGGCAGAAAACTATAAAAATATACTCAGATCTGCTACATCCTGAAATGATTAAATTCTTGTAGAGTATTCTGAAAAGGCTGTTTTATTCTCTGCTTTAAAAGTTACCTTTGGGTGCTCTAGTAACAGGAAATTTATCAGTGATGTAATCATCAGGGCAGGTTAAATTATTTCTTCTGAGAAGTTCATTATCCACAATCCACCTAAAACAGGATGCCACTGCAATAGTAAAACAAAGACACAAATAAGGCAAAAGCTTAGTACCTTAAAATACACTAATACACTATCTTGATTCATTCAAAGTAATGTTGTCTTTATAATGCATCACCATCAGCTAGTATTTTTGGATAGAGAAACAGTTTGGTATTTTAATCCTAAGACTTGGACCTGCACCTCCACAATTCTAAATTGAGTTCAAACCCAGCTATGCAACCATTGGAGATACACCTAATCTTTGTTCGTTGCTGCTACATATCAAGGTATGTACACTGTAATTAAGGTAGGTAGTAAGCCATTAATTGCAAATTTAACACCTTGAAAATGATCTGGTTGCTTAGGTTCTTACAGTGTTAAACAGACATTAGTCTACTTGAATTTCTGCATGAAATCCTTTGATGTTGCTCTGTTGATGTAATGCCAAACCAACTGCTCACTGAGTCTACTGTCAGTCCTACCAGTGATTTAGACAAACATGGCACTAGTCTCCAGGTACCATAAGCATGTAGTGGGGCGACAGTGTTTCCAGAATCCTCACCTGGTGGCAATCCCATTTTGTGGAAATCTTCCCCCGCATCTGCCTTCAGCACATTTAGGACCCTTTCTTCTTCCTCTTTCGCCCGTGCCTGCGCCTGAATGATGTTCTCTTCTACTCTGTCAGCTTCTCTCAGTTGACACTTATACTCATCAAGAAGCTGTCAGAGATATGGGTGAATGTGGACAAATTAGTGTAATCTGAGCTGTTAACATCTCCTTACAGATAAAAGTTTTCTGTTTGCCTTTAAGAGGTAACTACAGGTAGCTTGGTAAAACACCACCACTTTACAAGCATAAACTGGCCTGCTAAACCCATCATTTCTATGGGTAAGAAGCACTACACAAGAAAAATGTGTGAAAAATGAGGAGACCCTCTCAGGACAAGGGAAATGACTTTTACCTTCTGTGGGACAGTAGCTATGGCACTGTATTTTGCCTGTAAGTGTAGGAATAAATTTAAAGTCAAAGTTCCCTCCCAGTTACTAGGAGGGTTTCTAAAACTCAAAAATATCCCAATAGTGACACTTTACTCCTCCTCAAATATTTTGGATCAGTCTACCCATTCTGGTAAATGCTTTGCAAACACAACTCATAGAGAAAAATCCTGCCTCGAAGAGGTATCGATGTAAGTTAAAGGGAGAATATAGCAAAGGCACAAGAGACATACAAGACCAACAGCAAAAGAAACTGACAGATACTGGTCTCAAGAGTCTCTGTGGCCTAATTGAGCTTTCCATTGAACTTTTTCATAACAATATTTAACCTTTTGGCTCATTTAATAGAATTAAATTCTATTTATTTTTTTAAATAGAAAGGCTAGAATGCATCTCAGCTAAAATGAGATGCTTCCTTCTCTCCTGTTTATTCTGGAATCCCTCCACCATCACTGGAATCCAGCATACAATTCTACCCTATGCCAAAGGTGATACTTAAAATGGATTAGATGGATTATGCCCTAAAAATGTCTTATTTTTTATTTCTGATGATACAGAGAGTCTTGAGTGACTAGTTCAGCTGTCACATACATGTTACAGACATGTACTGTCAGTTGAAATGAATCTTATCCAAGCAGTCCATTCCAGGCATAAGTATTCACATTTATTACTCAGAACATGTGTCCACCAATATAAACGACTCAAAAGAAGTACAAAACCTCATACTTTTCAGCTCTGATAACCTTTGAGGGAGTGTGATGACATAGAATGAAAAAAAAATACCCGTTGCTCTAGTCATCCAGCAATAGCCTCTACTATGCACTGACAATACCTATCAGAGCAATGATTAATACATGTATTCTGCACTTCTACTGTTGATTTCATCCAAGATTCCCAAACAGCATTGCAAATGCTAACAGATTACATGCCATAGAGCACCACTAAGCATATATAAATATTATTTGCAGCATCTGGTTTCAAAATGCAGTACATCAGAATAATTTATTGTGAGATAGGAAGTCTAGTACCCTTAGTAGCAGTTACAGGGAGTTGTCAGCCAGTGGAATTAGGCATCTAGAGGGCTATTGGTTATACTCTGTGTCTGAAAAGCTGTCTGAATCTGAGACCACAAAGGGGCATGTGGTGAATATTAACTTACATATAAGGTTCTATGGGAAACTGTGCTTGAGTAAATTTCCATCACAATGTCAGTTCCAGGACCCCCTCTGACTTTTTATTTTATCTTACAAAGTAGCAATAAAAGCTGAACAGATCTCCAAACTCTGACTTGGTTTTGACTTATACCTTCTGTAGCTCCTCAGTAAAATTCTCATGATAAACATTGTCTCCTCCTCGGGACTTGATCCAGTTTGTCTCCAGGTCTTCCCCAAAAACATCTCCAGTGTACAGGTCCTCAAAGATGCTAGCCAGCAAGGGGGAGATGTCCTGAGAAAAGAAAATGAAGGTGTTCATGCTTATGGCCAAAGATAGGATAGGATGAGATCCCCAGGCATGTGAAAATGGCTGGAATTAGGAAATGGAGAAGGAATGCATACGTGTGAGGCTGGGGGGTGTATGTGCAAAGGGGGTGGTGGTGTCAGAGTGCATGTGTGTGCACGCATGTGAGGCTGTTGGAGGGGGTGTTTGCTGTGCGGCCCTGCCCGCTGCCTTACCTGCGAGCAGGGGTGGCGGCTCCGCTCCGCCAT